AAAACATTTCTCGTTCAAGTACTATGTCTACACTCAAAAATAAAAGCCTAATAAAAAAATAATACATACACTACTAATCTATTACAAATATTAAATGTGCAAGGATAAAGAGTTTTTGTTTTTAAGATTGTAAGTCTTTCTCAAAAGTTTACACCTTCATTTACAAAATCTTCAATTTACATCGATCATCATGAAATTGTATTAGAACTTTGGCTTGATTTATTGCCTTCAAGAGTAATGTTGAAGATGAGTTAATGAGAGTGTTGATTACCTACACAATGGACGGCTGAGATTAAATCTCAGCTGATCCAATGGTTATCAATTTTTCAAATTTAATAAAATATATATATATAATTATGAAATGGACGGCTGAGATTTAATCTCAGCCGATCCAATGGTCATCAATTTTTAAATTTAATTTAATATATATAATTATTATAGTTTTTACTTTTTAGGGGATATAAAATTATTAAATTAATGTATATAATTATTAATATTATAGTTGATTCATACTTTTATTAAGTATATAAATTATAACATAAGATTTTGTGATATCCACATCCACTAGTGTAAATATTTTAAATTGAAGATCGAATTCATTCATTGTATTCATATAGGGTCAAGGAGTGTAGTTATAAAAAATCATCAAAATCGGAGTTAAAATAACCGTTAAATCGTTATTTTTCGTTTATAACCGTTGAAAAGCTTTGTCCCGTTACTTGATCTCTGAATGTTTTTTTTTTGTGATTTTTTGCTGAAGTGATCTCCAAGCATATACAAACAATTTTGACGGTTTGGATCGTTGAAATTAGTTTTGGAGAATTCGTAAAACGATAGATTGACTAACACTTAGAGTTTATTTATACTTTCACTAAGTATAACATAAGATTTTGTGGTATCCACTTGTGTAAATATTTTAAATTGAAGATCGAATTCATTCATTGTATTCATATAGGGTCAATGAGTGTAGTTATAAAAAATCATCAAAATCGGAGTTAAAATAACCGTTAAATCGTGATTTTTCGTTTATAACCGTTGAAAAGCTTTGTCCCGTTACTTGATCTCTGAATGTTTTTTTTTTTTTTTTTTTGTGATTTTTTGCTGAAGTGATCTCCAAGCATATACAAACAATTTTGATGGTTTGGATCGTTGAAATTAGTTTTGGAGAATTCGTAAAACGATAGATTGACTAACACTTAGAGTTTATTTATAATTTCATTAAGTATAACATAAGATTTTGTGGTATCAACCTGTGTAAATATTTTAAATTGAAGATCAAATTTATTCATTGTATTCATATAGGGTCAAGGAGTGTAGTTATAAAAAATCATCAAAATCGGAGTTAAAATAACCGTTAAATCGTGATTTTTCGTTTATAACCGTTGAAAAGCTTTGTCCCGTTACTTGATCTCTGAATGTTTTTTTTTTTGTGATTTTTTGCTGAAGTGATCTCCAAGCATATACAAACAATTTTGACAGTTTGGATCGTTGAAATTAGTTTTGGAGAATTCGTAAAACGATAGATTGACTAACACTTAGAGTTTATTTATACTTTCATTAAGTATAACATAAGATTTTGTGGTATCCACTTGTGTAAATATTTTAAATTGAAGATCGAATTCATTCATTGTATTCATATAGGGTCAATGAGTGTAGTTATAAAAAATCATCAAAATCGGAGTTAAAATAACCGTTAAATCGTGATTTTTCGTTTATAACCGTTGAAAAGCTTTGTCCCGTTACTTGATCTCTGAATGTTTTTTTTTTGTGATTTTTTGCTGAAGTGATCTCCAAGCATATACAAACAATTTTGACGGTTTGGATCGTTGAAATTAGTTTTGAAGAATTCGTAAAACGATAGATTGACTAACACTTAGAGTTTATTTATACTTTCATTAAGTATAACATAAGATTTTGTGGTATCCACTTGTGTAAATATTTTAAATTGAAGATCGAATTCATTCATTGTATTCATATAGGGTCAATGAGTGTAGTTATAAAAAATCATCAAAATCAGAGTTAAAATAACCGTTAAATCGTGATTTTTCGTTTATAACCGTTGAAAAGCTTTGTCCCGTTACTTGATCTCTGAATGTTTTTTTTTTGTGATTTTTTGCTGAAGTGATCTCCAAGCATATACAAACAATTTTGACGGTTTGGATCGTTGAAATTAGTTTTGGAGAATTTGTAAAACGATAGATTGACTAATTCCCTCACTTTTCGTAAAATGATAGTTAATAACTTAAAAAAAAAAAAAAATTCTCACCACTTCTATTAATTTTCATTTTTCCCTCTCTTTTTTGTTACCTTTTCAACTTTTTCTTATCATTTTCACTTTTTCCTCCAACATCTTTCCCTAATTCCCTCACTTTTTTGTTTTATTTTCAACTTTTCTTAACATTTTCATTTTCCCTCCATTTTTTTTTTCAAAAAGGGCGGCAAAGTTGGCAAATGGCAATGGCAAAAAATTGATTATTGAAATTTGAATGGAAACAAATCACATCTGAGTTTGACGCATCAAATTTCAATGGATGCAAAATCATGCAAATATGCAATGCATGATCATGCATATTAAATTATTAATTAATAATTATTACAGTTTTTATAAAATTTAATATATATATATATATAATTATTATAGATGGACTTAATATTTTGGGGGTATAATTATTATAGTATATATAATTATTATAAATTTATAATTATTATAAATTTTATAGTTAATTATTTATATATATATTTATTATAATTTTTAGGGGTATAAAATTGTAAAATTAATGTATATAATTATTACAGTATTTTTTTAGGGTTATAAAATTATAAAAATAATATTCTGCTTATCGTGTTTGGTGTTACCCACGTGTATACCCGAACCAACCCGTTATCTTAACAGGTGCTTATCGGGTTACCCGATAAGACCCGATTCGTTATCGTGTCGACTCAAACACCTGTTAATTTCGTGTCGTGTCGGGTCGGGTTATCGGGTCGTGTCAGAAATTGCCAGGCCTAGTATTTTTGCCAAGCGAAGAACCATCTGCTAATTGAATAAAAAAAAATATAGCCATTTAATCCACGAGCTCAATTATTTCTATCCCACTGTTTTATATATAGAAGTTAAAATTTTGCATTTGCATGCAATGACTGCTAATAACCACATTCTCTGACACTGTAGCTACTTTTACACTTTCTGTGAGAACCAGAGCATTGCAATTGGAATTCCTTTTCAGTAATTGACTAAGCTTATTATTTTCTATATTTTTTTAGTCCAAAACTGACACCTGTGTCTCAATCAACAATGACTGCCATTGGGCCATTGGCTATGAATTGAATAATTCTGATAAAGTGAACACTTCACCTTAGTTGTGGCAGGGCTAGCTTATCCTCTAATCATTTCATATCGTATAAGCAAAAATGATCAGACGAGACTACAAAAATAACCACTTTGTTCTTTGTCGGGTATTGAGATTTGAAACCAAATTGGGCCGTTTTGTTGTCTCCTATATTTATCTAATTTTGTATATTCACAATCAAAATGATCATTGGCTGTGTACATAAAATAGTTAATAGATACGATCATACGAGGACTGTGTATTAGGACATTGTTATAATTGAACATTTTGAATCTTGCCTTTTCCGTTTGAAGATGTAGAAACCCCACTTAAAAGGATGGGCAATCAATGTTGACTCAATGCAGCCATATGTTGAAATACAAGTCAAGTACCCTAATTTGAACTTCTGGAAGTGCATACTAGTTGTAATGTAGTAGGGATAACAATATTATGAAGCAAACAGCAATTTGTAAAACAAGGTTTCACTAATTGGGCATTAGACACCAATTCATTTCTAATAATCCTTGGGTACTCCCCTTTTAATTTTATCCAATGATGTTTTAAAATATTTTATTGTATTAAAAAAATGGACATGTTATTTAATTTTTCTTGGGCTTTGAAAAAAGATACACATGATATTTTTTTATTGAACCAAATCAGAAAGTGAGTACTTAAGTATTATACATTCATTTCATCCCCATCAATGTACTAATTAACCTCAGTAAATTACATTCGTACGGTTTCATAAAAATTTTAGTTGTGAGGACTCTCAACAGTCTATATATGAGATCACTACAACAAAATGGTATGTTATTGAGGAAATCTTTTGGAGGAAACCTAGTTTTCTCACTATAGAACACTTTTTGCAAGGATATTATTTCGTCTTCGCAAAAACTGACCCAATTTTGATTGCAAGTCATGTCCTTACTCTAGCGAGAAATTTAAATGTTTTGCAAGAAAACGTTTCCTCGCTGTCGACAGACTCTTAGCTTGGTAATCTACCTTTACTCACTGTAGTGTGTAAAAGTTTTAGGGTTTAACAAAATAGAGACTTTGAGTGAGGACTTTTTTTTCTCTCGCTAAACTACGTTTTTGTTGTAGTGAATGTACAATTGGATCCACGTACATTAACAATTAACAATTCATCATACGCCCTTTTGGACGGGTTTATTAAGAGGGTGTCTTCCGTATAAAATAAGTGGATCGGATTAGATTAGACCAGTCCAATTTGATATGAGAGGGCGCCAAACACCTAGCTCCATATTAATAGTCCTATCCGGTGCTATATACAACGTACCACGCGGGGCCTTAGTGATTGATCTATGTCTTGATAAATGATATATATCATCTATTTGCTAAAGTGTCTTTAATGCTCCTTCTGTAATTGATATATGTCTTGACAAATGAATGTATATATCATCTATTATCTGAATATTAGATGATACATACATTCATTTATCACATTATATTAAAAAAAAAAAATTTGGTAATTGTCAAATTATATAATGGTTAGTCCAACTCGTGTTGTTAGAAAATATGATACTTTAATTTAAGAGTAATGTTAATTATAGTTTTAGATCACAATTGCAATACATTTTATGTGTCAGTTGATACGGTGTGTCATATCATGCCATGGTGCATGATAAGGGGAAACTTGCATACATATGCATATTATTCAAATCCATTAGTTTCTTTTTATTTTTATATGAAAAGACATACAATATTCACTTTTCAATGAAAAGCTCCAATAACAAGCCAAATTACAAGCCAAAACACTACTTCAGAAGTTTAAAAAACAAAAAGGAAATGAAAATAGTTGTTTGTTGACATAAGTTTTGATGTCATATAATTTAGTTGTAGGCGTCTTGGTGCTCTAAGAGGTAGTTCTCAATCAACTTGAAGAGGTGGGAGGCCTTCTCTTTGCCAGCCTTTACATGCTCTTCTTTGATCTCAACATCACCCTTGGTGTGGTAGTGGCTGGTGCTCTTGATGACGGAACCACTGCCGGAAGCCACCAACTTGGTCTCATAAGAGATCTTCTCAATTGTCTCAGAGATAGCATCTCCTTCAATCACACTGTACTTGTAGACAAAGTTGTCCTTGTCCACCCCATCAATTCTGTGCTTCACGTAGCTGTATGTGCTACCTTCACCGAAGTTGATCTTCTTAATGGTTCCAACTCCGCCATCTCCTTCAAGGATCTCAGCGCTCTTCACTGCCTGTGGTGCAATTTTGGGGATGAGGTTGTCAGCATCAAGAACAAAGGCATTGAACAACCTAGCAGGGGGGATGACGGAGGTGAACTCGGATTCATATGTGAAAAGACCCATGATTTTGAGAAGTGAATGGAAAGTGAGAAAAGAATAACTAATGAAGAGGAAGATCTAAGAAAGAAAGATGATGTATTGGGAGGTTTCTTGAGATGTGAAGAAGTGAGGAGGAGGTATGGTATTTATAGGCTGAGGCTGAAGGTGTGTGAATCAAAAGGTTTATGCAAGTTCCTAATTGTTTAATTGGTTCTATTCAATATGACGTGGGAGCCATTATTTTTGTACAAGGAATTTTGTAGTTTAGTCAAGGGAAGGACCATGTGGAAATTGAATAAGGTACCCAATTAATCCACGAGGTGGACTAGTTAAACCTCAAATACTTATTGTCTTGGTGTTCGCTACAAGTTAAAATTTCCATGTGCATGCAATGAGTACTTTAGAAATGATCAGATTCTCTCACATCAAGTAAACAAACTGACACCTTTTGTAATTCTGTTTGATAATTTTTTCTATATAATCGACGCTCCAATTTATTTGAACTATAAAGAGGAAGAGGAAGATTTAACTCGAACATTAGAGTATATAGGCTTCCTTCCTTCTTCCTTTCCAGTCAAATACCGAAACTTGGGCTTCAATGAACACTAGCTGCCAAGGGCTGTGACTAAACCTCATGTTGCGATCACTTCACATTTTCTTCCGCCCTCTATAATTTCATATCGTATGAGCAGAAAAAATAGAGCTACATAACAGCTGTTATAATTGACAATACTGAAGAAGTTTTCTAAATCTTTGATGGAAACTTCATCTCTCCAATGTGCGATATTCTCCTCAACAGCCTTGTGTTTTGTTCTCGTTGATACTCAAATTTGAAACCAGCTTGGGCTGCACCGATAGGCTATATGATATGAGCAAGTTGACAGAAATTTTGTCTGATTAAACAGTAATTTAGTTTATCTGAGACAATGCATGGTGGTGTGATAATTCAGTGTTTATCAAACACTAATAACAGCTGTTTTATCTCGGATTAGAGCACAAAAAATATCCTTAATTGTTATATAAATTCTATATTTTAAGCCATTTCAATTTGTAGATGTGATCAAAACCCAACTGAAAATGATGGGCAAACGACATTGACCCATTGCAGCCTATTTTGAAATGCAAGTGTATATCCTAATTTGAACTTCTGGAAGGTGTATACTAGTTGTGAAGTAGTAGGGACAACCATATTCTGAAACAAGTTGGTTTGGTCAATTAGAGATCACACACCGACCCATTTGATGCCCAGTAGGGTACTTGCTAATTAACCTCGGTATTATTGTAATTCAAATCTCACTTACGAACAATTCATGTGAATTCGAAGAACAGAAAATCTAAGAGGAAGTGATCAACTTCATTCTTTTTCGGGTTGCCTTCCCTTGGTCCCCATTAATGAAAGGTACACCTAAAAGAAAAGCCTATACTGAATGGTTAAAGATTTCAAACCAATTTTTTGTTACTTATACATAACACCTTTACAACAATTTTACAGTTAAAGATTTCAAACCTAGGGTTAGATACTTAGAATGATATTATTGATAATTGTAAGTTCTTATAAATGCATACTATAGAATATCATACATACAATACAGAGAAGTGTTGAGTATATCAATCTCACATCATGAAAAACAGGAGCTTGCATGTGCTTATAGTAATTGGGCAATTCCCCATATTGCCAATTGGTTTTATGGTGGAACCTCAAGTTTCTTCATAGTACCAGAGCAAGTTGTCCCGTGTTTAAAGCTTAACGGCCACATGTACTCCATATCTCCCTGTTTGTATGAGTTATACGTGAGAGGGTGTGTTGAGCGTATCAATCTCACATCGGAGAAATGGACTTTTGCATGTGTTTATAAGTAATTTGGTCACTCCCCATATTGAAAAAAAAATGGTTTTGAGAAGTAACATTATGCTTCTGCTTTTTGCTACTTTTCCGCTTAAAATGACCTGTGACGTTGTAAATAAGTGGACTTATCAAACACAAATTTTACTCGAACTTCTTTTCATCCCACTTAAAATGACCCGTGACTTTGCAAATAAGCAGACTTATCAAACACAAATTTTACTCGAACTTTTTTTCATCCCCGCTTTTAAAATAATTTAAGCAGAAACTTTACCAAATTGATTGTACTTAACTTTTTTTAACAAACGATATTACCTACATTAAAGGAGTGAGGGATTGGGCTAAGCCTAACAATGGGCTAGCAATAATATGGTAAAAATTCACTTTTGGCGAGAATCAAACCTAAGACCTCTCACTTACAAGTGAGGGAATACCACTAAACCATAGTACTAAGTGACATTTATTGTATTTTTAGTTTGGCTATATTACTCTTAGGTACAATTGTTTTAGGTGTTCAAACATAAAATAAAATTGAAAAGCATCGAGTTTTACAAATCATAACTAATGTCTAAGCCCCAAGGAATTTGACCCGCAACCATTCAAACACAATTTGACCCGAACATCTTTGAATATGATATGATATTCAATCATAAACTAGGCTAAGAAGAATTAGATCATTGTTATCTGTATAAAAGTAATCGAATGTGGTTTCATTTATTGAGATTAAAATCAAACACAATATCACAATATTACACTTGAATCATAACTTCAGATTGCGAATAAAAACTCCTTCTGTATGAGCAAAAGTAAAAATCGAAAGCCACACCGCTGAAGAAACAGAAAAAAGGAGAGGACATAAAATTTGTTTCCCCAACTCTTAGCATGCAGAATCATATGTAGATCGATGGTTTTAGTTATAGGCATTAGGGTTGGCCACAAGATAGTTCTCAATGAGCTTGAACAAACCATGGGCCCTTTCTTTGCCAGCCTTAACATGTTCTTCCTTGATTTCAACATCTCCCTTAGTGTGGTAATGGCTGATGCTCTTGATGACAGAACCACTACCGGAAGCCACCAACTTAGTCTCATAAGAGATCTTCTCAATCTTGTCAGAAATGACATCTCCTTCAATCAAACTGTAATTGTAGACAAAGTTATCTTTGTCAATTCCGTCAACCTTGTGCTTCACATAGCTGTATTCACTTCCTTCACCAAAGCTAATCTTCTTGATGGTTCCAACACCTCCATCTCCCTCAAGAATTTCAGCAGTTTTAACTGCTTGTGGAGCAATCTTTGGGATGAGGTTGTCAGCATCAAGAACAAGAGCATTGTACAACCTAGCAGGAGCGCAGACTGAGGCGAATTCAGTTTCATATGTGAAGACACCCATGGTGATGATTGAGAGCTTAGAAACTGGTCAAAGTAAGAATGAAATGTGAAGGAAGAAAAGAGAAATTGATAATGAAGGTATTTGATGGTGGAAGATATGGAGGTGGTATTTATAGGTTATTGGTGAGGGGCTGTCGTGTAATGTGGACCCCTACTGATAGAGAAATTTGGACAGTATTTAGTTTCCCATTGGTTGTTTCCAATTTGAACATTTTAGTCAAAGAAAGGCACCTCTAGAAGTTGATTTTGTAAATTCCAACTTAATACGACTAGCTGGTGTGCTAATTAATAATGTGGAAATTTTTTTAATAGAAAATGTTAACACTTGATGATCGGAATATTACAGCAGAGCTAGTGTGCTAAGACCTGGTTTGGTACTGAGGTGATTCTGAAAAAAGCTGCTATCAAAAAAAGCTGGGAGCTGTTTTTGTGTTTGGTAAACACTCAGCTTCAGCTTTTTTTCACAGTTTTGGATGAAAAAAAGCCAAAAACAAGAAGCTGCAAAACCTAGCTTTGAAAAACTGGCTTTTTTTCACATCTGTTTTACATAAAAGTTTACCAAACACTCTAATACTGCTTTTTTTTTTCAAAAGCACTTTTACAAAAAAGTTTACCAAACACTCTGCTGCTTTATTTCACAGCTGCTTATTCTCACAGCACAGCAGAAGCAGCTTTTTTTCAAAGCACAGCAATACCAAACCAGCCCTAAGTCTGTTGACTACTGACTCAATAATATCTTTATGGATTAGAATAAACCTAAGTTCCCTTTTTGATTCTATCTACATATCTGAACTCTTTGATCAACGTAAGGACTGCCATGAAACTACAATGTTACTCGTTCCCAAGTGTTTTATTCAATTGGGATCGCATGATCGGTTTAGAATATCGTCACATTAGTGTTTCTGAAAATTTGACATAATATTTATAGTGGGGTTGTTTGAATGAGCCTGAATATTGATAAACAACCAATCATAGTATTTGTACGTTATATAATCGATTCTATGCCACGAGTTTAGTTCCGTTATACACATGCATGCTTGTTTGTTCTCATTTATCACACCAGATGGTGCATTAATGTAGTTCAAATACGTGGTCTCTCTAGTATTTTCCATCAACTAAATGTAATGGTCTCACTGAACTCTAAAGTTATATCATGACTTTATATTACAATAAAAAATAACAGTAGTTTTTCAATGCATTAGAAATGGTTTAGCTATAATTACAGCCAAATATAACTTTTGGCTATGAATTTTCTTATGCATTGGAGATAGCTTAAATCTAAAGAAGGAGGGAAAAAAGGACATTAAATCTCTTAACCTGCACGAGCCTTTTTATAAATAGTGAAAGAACTTGAAGTTCTGATTTTCTTTCACTATTTATATTTTCAAAAGATTTACAAGTATTTTGCTCAAAAGAATTGATGCAAATTTAAGTTTGGGCCCACCGTCACTTGATTATTCCTTTCAAGACATAATAAAAAATAATAAAAATAAATAAATAAATAAATTTTAAAAACTTATCTTTTGACTAAAATGGGTATTTGAGGTCACATTAAAATTGCTCATTGAAGAACTTTCTGACCAATATTATACATCTTCCTATACACCTCCGACTAAAGATGCTCCAAGGGAGGAGAATTCAAATTGATGTTTTACTTCTTTTTTATTCAAAAGAAGCTCAAAACTTTGAGGAGGCCAACTTGTTCAAAGTAATTTTGAAAGGTTCCCGCTGATCGTAATTCATGCCAATATTTGCAAGTTATAGGTTGGAACCAAGACTTTCATTAATATTTCTTGAAGAGGAGTATTACAAAAATATTAATATTTTTTAATTTTATTCCAACCGGAACGTCTTATTAC